ACGCTGAGTCACCTTCATCCCTGGATAGCACGGGGGGGGGGCATGGCACAGAGACATTCACATCTGAGATTAGTAGAGGTGAATACACCAGGCTGAGGATGAATTTTGTACAATGTACCATAGAATAAAGAGACCCTGTCACACACAGAGTCCTCATCTGACATACATATTACACGCTGAATCACCTTCATCCCTGGATAGCACGGGGGGGGGCATGGCACAGAGACATTCACATCTGAGAGTAGAGCAATCAGAGACACATCTGAGATTAGTAGAGGTGAATACACCAGGCTGAGGATGAATTTTGTACAATGTACATAGAATAAAGAGACCCTGTCACACACACTTAGAGTCTTCATCTGACATATTAGTCACCTTCATTTCTGGATAGCATGGGGGGATATGACATCGAGACATTCACATCTGAGATTAGTAGAGGTGAATACACCAGGCTGAGGATGAATATTGTACAATGTATCATAGAATAAAGAGACCCTGTCACACACGTAGAGTCTTCATCTGACATATTACACCGCTGAATCACCTTCATCCCTGGATAGCATGGGGAATGGGGGGACATGGACATTCACATCTGAGATTAGTAGAGCTAATCAGAGACATTCACATCTGAGATTAGTAGAGCTAATCAGAGACATTTACATCTGAGATTAGTAGAGGTGAATACACCAGGCTGAGGATGAATTTTGTACAATGTACCATAGAATAAAAAAGACCCTGTCACACACACATAGAGTCCTCATCTGACATATTAGTCATCTTCATTCCTGGATAGCATGGGGGGATATGACATCGAGACATTCACATCTGAGATTAGTAGAGGTGAATATACGAGGCTGAGGATGAATTTTGTACAATGTATCATAGAATAAAGAGACCCTGTCACACACGTAGAGTCTTCATCTGACATATTACACGCTGAATCACCTTCATCCCTGGATAGCACGGGGAATGGCGGGACATGGCACAGAGACATTCACATCTGAGATTAGTAGAGCTAATCAGAGACATTCACATCTGAGATTAGTAGAGCTAATCAGAGACATTTACATCTGAGATTAGTAGAGGTGAATATATGAGGCTGAGGTTGAATTTTGTACAATGTATCATAGAATAAAGAGACCCTGTCACACACGTAGAGTCCTCATCTGACATATTACAGGCTGAGTCACCTTCATCCCTGGATAGCACGGGGGGGGGGCATGGCACAGAGACATTCACATCTAGATTAGTAGAGATAATCAGAGACATTCACATCTGAGATTAGTAGAGGTGAATACACGAGGCTGAGGATGAATTTTGTAAATGTATCATAGAATAAAGAGAGACCCTGTCACACACATAGAGTCCTCATCTGACATATTATTAGTCACTTCATTCCCTGGATAGCAATGGGGGGGGGCATGGGAGACAGTGACATCTGAGATTAGTAGAGCACAGAGACATTCACATCTGAGATTAGTAGAGGTGTAAATATACGAGGCTGAGGATGAATTTTTTACAATGTACCATAGAATAAAGAGACCCTGTCACACACATAGAGTCTTCATCTGACATATTAGACACTTCATTTCCTGGATAGCACGGGGGGGGGGGGATATGCATAGAGAGATTCACATCTGAGATTAGTAGACTTCATTGTCCTCTTTGAGTCATATCAGAATGAAGAGATCCTGACACACACGTGGGTCCTTCATCTGATATTACACTTGTCATTTCATCCCTGGATTGGGGGGGGGCATGGCACAAACACAGATTAGTAAGTCATCAGGACATTATACATCTGAGATTTAGAGGTGAATTCCTCCCAGATCAATTTTGTACAATGTATCATATATAAAGTCCCTGTCATTAGTCAGGTTTCATGAGTGTACAATCAGATCCTAGACATTCCTGGAAGTCTGGGGGGGATTAACTCTAAACATCAACAAATCTGATCGCACCTAAACTAAACACTCATTGTGAATTTGGTCATGGAAAGATCATTACATCACAATGGGTTTTAGAAATGTCATTTAAATACTTACAAATGCAGGTTAGACATATGGCGGTGTGAATGGGGCCTTAGGACTAGTTCAATCCTCAATCACCCCGTGTCAGAGTGCTTTTTACATACGGGTTTACATACATTTTTAATGCATTTATAGTGAATTTCTATAAATTTATAGTGAAATTGTGAAAAAAAAAATCATCTGCTGAACTTATTTATAAAGCATTGAAACTGAATGCAGTAATAAGGGTGACATTGCAGCATGTGTGCTACAGACAATGGGTAGTATCAATGGGACTTGCAGTAAAAAAATCAAAAAAAGCATTGAACAGACGTAAATGATGGGACTTATAGCACCAAAGACAATGGATAGCATATACTAGTGGAATATGGAATATAGGAGTGAAATCCCTGCACTACCTCAATAATGAGAGAGAGGGAGAAAAAAAAAACGCACACAAGCAGAAAGGAAAATAAAAATTGTGATGATAGTGGCTGCTGCTAACATCAAATTGTGTTCCCACAATAGTAAAGCAAATTAAAAATAAATAAGTGATGCAGGGCTGCTAAATAGCTACAAAAATAAAAGAGTGACATAGCTGCATAAAACGTCCATAATGAGTCCATATATGTAAAATCAATCAATTTGTAATAAAGATTCAGGAGGACTTATTTGGGGTTATTCTATGCTGGGTTATGGTAGTAGCAAGAAACATACAGTTACCAGGGGTGGACTGACCATATGGAAACTCAGGCAGTGCCCGAGGGCCCGGGGGGTCAGTAGGGGGCCCCATGAGATGATGCCCCTGATACCTTTTTCATAGGCTTTTTGAGTTTGGGCAAGGACACAGGGGCCCCATGATCTCCTATTGCCTGGGGGGCCCCATGAGTTGTCAATCTGCCCCTGACATTTACATTGCAAAAAAAATTTTTTTTTTACTATGTTGGGCCATAATAAATAGTGAGTTCAGCTGACAACAAGTGAAGCCTGCATTTGATGATTTTATGGCATTTTAATAATTTACTACATGTGAGTGTATTACTGTTTCTTAATACATTTTTATCCTAGTACATACTGCACCATGGGAGTGTCCTTTGTTCCCTTTTATGGATAGAAATGTATGACCCCATCACCCCTAACCACCTCCCGCCAGCCATATAAAGAAATGACGGGCACAAAGCAGTTCTCTCGTTCTGGGAGCGGATCACCGATCAATGGAAAGAGCCGAAGACGTTGGCTCGGTCATGTGATCAGCTGTGTCCAATCACAGCTGATAACATATAAATAGGGAAATGCCGGTTATCGGCATTTCTCTCCTCACGAGCTGTCACGCTGACAGAGGGGAGGGGAGGTGAGCCGGTAATCGGCATTCCTCAGAGGGGACATCTACACTGATCATCAGGGCACTGATGATCAGTGTGCCCTGATGATCAGTGTAGCCCCAGAAGTGTCCCCTGTCAGTCCATCAATGCCAGCTGTCAGTGCCCATCAATGCCACATCAATGCCACATATCAGTGCCTACCAGTTCACATCAGTGCCAGATATCAGTGTCCATCTGAGCTGCCTTTCAGTGCCACCCATTAGTGCCAGTCAGTGCCCCCTATCAGTGCCTGTCAGTGCCTGTCAAGTGCCACCTAGTGCCACCTAACAGTGCCAGTCAGTGCCGCCCTAACAGTGCCAGTCAGTGCCACCTATCAATGCCAGTCAGTTCCACCTATCAGTGCCAGTCAGTGCCACCTATCAATGCCAGTCAGTTCCACCTATCATTGCTGCCAATCAGTGCCGCCTATCAATGCCAGTCAGTGATTCCTACAGGGGCGGACTGACAACTCATGGGGCCCCCGGGCAATAGGGGATCACGGGGCCCCTGTGTCCTTGCCCAAACTCAAAAAAGCCTATGAAAAAGTACCCAGGAGCATCTCATGGGGCCCCCTACTGACCCTGGGCCCTCGGGTAGTGGCCCGAGTTTCCAAATGGTCAGTCCGCCCCTGGCTGCCTATCAGTGCATGTCAGTGATGCCTATCAGTGCCACCTAACAGTGCCAGTCAGTGACGCCTACCTAACAGTGCCAGTCAGTGACGCCTATCAGTGCCAGTCAGTGCCACCGATCAATGCTGCCTATCAGTGCCATATGAGTGCTGCCTTTCAGTGCTCATCAGTGATGCCTGTCAATGCCCATCAGTGCCACCTACCAGTGCCTCCTCATCAGTGCCCATCAGTGCCACCTATCAGTGCCCATCAGTGCAGCCTCATTAGTGCACATCAGTGAAGGAGAGAGAAAAATACTTATTTACAAAATTTTATAACAAAAACTAAGAAAAAACTTTTTTTTTTCAAAATTTTCAGTTATATTTTGGTTTGTTTATAAAAACCCCAGAGGTGATTAAATACCACCAAAAGAAAGTTCTATCTAAAAAAAATGATAAAAATGTCATATGGGTACAGTGTTGCATGACCGCGCAGTTGTCATTCAAAGTGTGACAGCGCTGAAAGCCGGAAATTGGCCTGGGCAGGAAGGGGGTGACAGTGTCCTGTAGGCGAGGGGTTAAAGGGACCGATCCCTGGCTCTGGTTTGACAATCTATTGAAAGCTCAGAGGTGTTTGATTTCTATCACATGGCTGTGGATTGAAAAAGTGAAGAATCCTTCTTTCTATTTGATATCATAAAGTGCATTTCCATGTGCTCCGAGGTGAGAGTTCTGTGGGCACGGAGGTGGCACTATATGTCATGAGCACTGTTTCACTGGATGGTGTTTGGGGATATCAGCACAAGAAGAAAAAACATGAATTATGGAAGAATCTTTATTACAAATTGATTGATTTTGCATATATGGACTCATTATGGAGGTTTTATTCAGCTATGTCACTCTTTTATTTTTTGTAGCTATTATTTAGCAGCGCTACATCACTGATTTATTTTTAATGGATATCACCATTGTTAGTATGCTTGGCACTAAATAGAAATGTGAGGACTTACCATATCATAGATATTAACCCCTAAGGGTAAAACAAATCTTAACGCCTAAGCACAATTTTGCAACTTTGACATGTGTGTTGCAAAAGCATTCATCTCATCACAATTACTTTGTGTATCCAGGTGGATTATACCTTGTTTCTTTTTCAGGACAAATTGGGCTTTCATTTGGTGGCAAATGGTAATGGATATCTCCTAATTTATTTTTATTATCAAATAAATGATAATGTGAAAAAAATATATATATAAAAATTATATATAAAAAATTATTCATAAATCATTAAATATTCAAAATCAAAATATAAAAAAATATATATTGCCCCAGAGCAAAAAATGCTTGTTGTGAGTCCAATTGTTCAGCATTTAGCTCTGGTGAGTGATTCAACATTTTTTTGGTGGTGGCTTCAACACACATATGGACATTATTTGAAGACTTTTTGATTTTGAATATTTAATGATTTATGAAATAATTTTTTATATATTTTTTTATATATGTTTTTTTCACATTATTATTTAGCGCATTCATTTTATTTATTTGTTTGAACAAAAAATTAATTTGGGATTTTTTGGAGTGGAATTTGCTGCTTTAGAGATTTAGGGTGTGGCGCTTTTCTAAAAACACTATTTATTTTTATTATCAAAGGAAAACTGGCCCAAAATAGTAACAAAAAAAAACCAAATTTCAATGTAACTGTATGTTTCTTGCTACTACCATAACCTACCACCAATCAATGCCCCAAATAATTTCTCCCTCCTGACGATTGCAGTGATACCTCATATGTGTATGTTAGTTGTTTGTAGCCGTACAGCCCATACAGTGCACATCAATAATAGTGCACATTAATAGACACTGATACTAATTTAAAGAATTGAAAAAAAAAAATCTTGACAGGAAAAAAAAAATCCTGACCCTTGACACTGAATTTTGACCATGAACGTTGACCTTGACCCAAATGTTAACCCTGGCACTGACCTAGGTCAAACCTTTTTTCAATTTCTTTTTCTTTTTCTTTCTTTTTCTTTCTTTTTTTTTTTTTTTTTTTTTTTTCTCTGAAAGGACAGAGAGCAGGGGCGGGCTGACAACTCATGGGGCCCCCGGGCAATAGGGGATCATGGGGCCCCTGTGTCCTTGCCCAAACTCAAAAAAGCCTATGAAAAAGGTACCAGGGGCATCTCACGGGGCCCCCTACTGACCCCGGGCCCTCGGGCAGTGCCCGAGTTTCCAAATGGTCAGTCCGCCCCTGACAGAGAGAGAGATAATCTATCTCTCTCCTCCATTTAGAGAGAGAAAAATCACAGGGGCGGGATTCACAGTGATTGATCCCTGTGATAGCCAATCAGAGGCTATCACAGCGATCGGGTGACCTTGAATCAGGAGTTCCGGGTCCTAATTGTTAGAAGGGGACCCAGGACTTTTAGTTAGACTCAGGTCTCCATGCTGGGAACGCACTGTGCAGCGCTCTCCCAGCACAAAGACAGCTATGCAAATTAGCGGCCCCACGGAAAAAAAAAAAGAGCCAGTCCAGTGGGGCCCCTAATTTGCATACGGTTATCGTGAAGGGGTTTTTGAAATGTCAAGTCAGGGACATCTTTAACTACAGATGCCAGAATGTGATGATGTGATTTGTAGCATCACAGACACTGGATAGAGATGCTGGGACTTGTAGTATCACAGACACTGGATAGAGATGCTGGGACTTGTAGTATCACAGACACTGGATAGAGATGATGGGACTTGTAGTATCACAGACACACAGATAGAGATGATGGGACTTGTAGTATCACAGACACAGGATAGAGATGATGGGATTGTAGTATCACAGACACTGTATAGAGATGATGGGACTTGTAGTATCACATACACATACACTGGATAGAGATGATGGGACTTGTAGTATCACAGGCACTGGATAGAGATGATGGGACTTGTAGTATCACAGACACTGGATAGAGATGCTGGGGACTTGTAGTATCACAGACACAGGATAGAGATGCTGGGACTTGTAGTATCACAGGCTGGATAGAGATGTTGGGACTTGTAGTATCACAGACACTGTTATAGAGATGATGGGACTTGTAGTATCACAGACACTGGATAGAGATGATGGGACTTGTAGTTATCACAGACACTGGATAGAGATGCTGGGACTTGTAGTATCACAGACACTGGATAGAGATGATGGGACTTGTAGTATCACAGACACTGGATAGAGATGATGGGACTTGTAGTATCAGACAGATACTGGATAGAGATGCTGGGATGCTGGGACTTGTAGTATCACAGACACTGGATAGAGATGCTGGGACTTGTAGTATCACACACGGGATAGAGATGATGGGACTTGTAGTATCACAGACACTGTAGAGAGATGATGGGACTTGTAGTATCACAGACACGGGATAGAGATGCTGGGACTTGTAGCATCACAGACACTGGATAGAGATGCTGGGACTGTAGTATCACAGACACGGGATAGTGAGATGCTGGGACTTGTAGTATCACAGGACACAGGATAGAGATGCTGGGACTTGTAGTATCACAGACACGGGATAGAGATGCTGGGACCTGTAGTATCACAGACACAGGATAGAGATGATGGGACTTGTAGTATCACGGACACTGGGATAGAGATGATGGGACTTGTAGTATCACAGACACAGGATAGATGCTGGACTGTGATCATGACACGGGATAGAGATGATGGGACTTGTAGTATCACAGACACTGGATAGAGATGATGGGACTTGTAGTATCACAGACACTGGATAGAGATGCTGGGACTTGTAGTATCACAGACACTGGATAGAGATGATGGGACTTGTAGTATCACAGACACTGGATAGAGATGCTGGGACTTGTAGTATCACACACACTGGATAGAGATGCTGGGACTGTAGTATCACAGACACTGGATAGAGATGATGGGGACTTGTAGTATCACAGACACTGGATAGAGATGATGGGACTTGTAGTATCACAGACACTGATAGAGAGATGATGGGACTTGTAGTATCACAGACACTGGATAGAGATGCTGGGACTTGTAGTATCACAGACACTGGATAGAGATGCTGGGACTTGTAGTATCACAGACACTGGATAGAGATGATGGGACTTGTAGTATCACAGACACTGGATAGAGATGCTGGGACTTGTAGTATCACAGACACTGGATAGAGATGCTGGGACTTGTAGTATCACAGGATAGAGATGCTGGGACTTGTAGTATCACAGACACTGGATAGAGATGCTGGGGCCTGTAGTATCACAGACACTGGATAGAGATGCTGGGACTTGTAGTATCACAGACACTGGATAGAGACTGGGACTTGTAGTATCACAGACACTGGATAGAGATGCTGGGACTTGTAGTATCGCAGACACTGGATAGAAATGCTGGGACTTGTAGTATCACAGACACAGACATACTGGAAAACAAAATACGGTGAACAACGGAGGAGTGAAACATATCAGAGAAGTCTGTAGAAATTTAAAATTTAACTGAATGCTAAACTTTTTTTTCAGCTTGAATAGAGTGGAGAATGATTAGATGGTTAAGATTATATTGCTATTTGTGTCGGTGTCCTCATTAGGGAGCTTTTCTCTCTCTATTTGCCACCGTTATCACCAAAGTGATGGTGAAGGAACAATCCTCCCTTGTGTGGTGGTCAATGTTATAAAGAATGCATATTTTGTTGGTGGTCAGTGTGAGGAAGAATGCCCGCCTCATGTTTATAGTCTTTTGTGCCATCTTTTGTGGTCAGTGTCAGGATTAGGGGTGAGCTCCGTGTTCAGTCTGAATGTCAGTTCAGGACCAAACACTGGCTGTTCAGATGTTTGTCTGAACATTTACGGCATTCCATGTGGATGGACATGACAGCTTTCAGCTAATAATAGTTGTTAAGGAAGCAGCAGATGCTTGCACCCACTGCGTCCCTACCAACCATTGACGTCACCCAGCTTTTTCACTTACATGGCTGTTAACTAGTTGCCGACGGCAGATAGCCGAATGATGGCTGCACTGTGGCCGGCCAGTTCTGGGAGGGCGTCATATGACATCCTACCAAGAACGCACTCTCCTGCAACCCTCCAGGGGCGCGCACCCAGTGATCTCTGTGTGATCACTGTGTCCTAAGGACACAGCTGATCACATGATGTGGTAAAAAAGGCCAATCACAGCTCCCTTTTACCACGTGATCAGCCGTGTCCAATGACACACTGATCACCTAGAAATGCAATTGCCGGTTCTCGGCTACACTTTCCTCACGATGTCGAGCATGAGAAAAGTGCTGCCGAGAACAGGCAGTTGTCAGAAAAGGGACCGGCACCGATCACCAGGGCACTGATCGATCAGGTGCCCTGATGATCTCCCAGCAATGCCACCCACCAGTTTTGCTCACCTGTGCCAGCAGTGCCGCCCAAAGTGCCATCAATGCCACCCACCTGTGCCCATCAGTGCCACCCACCAGTGTCCCAGCAGTGCCACCAACCTGTGTTATCCACCTGTGCCCAGCAGTGCCACCCACCTGTGCCACCCACCTGTGCCCACCAGTTCCACCCACCTGTGTCCCATCAGTGCCCCCATCCTGTGTCACCCACCTGTGCCCATCAGTGCAGCAAGCACCTGTGTCATCCACCAGTGCCCAGCAGTGCCACCACCTGTGCCCAGCAGTGTCGCCCACAGTCAGTGCCCACCACCTGTGCCCATCAGTGCCACCTATCAGTGCCAATCATCAGTGCCAGCAATCCAGTGCCACCAGTCAGTGTCCATAACTGCCCAGGGGCACCATTTGCCGGGCACTGCCCGAGTGTCCCAGTCAGAAGGGGCACCAGAGGGGGGCCCAGAATGCATAACAGTGCTGCCTATCAGTGTGCAAGGACATCAGTACCCCATGATCCCCGCCCACCCCATGATTGTCAGTCCGTCCCTGGTACTGCCTATCAGTACTGCACTATCAGTTCCCTTCAATGCTGCCTATCAGTACCCATCAGTGCTGCCTATAAGTGCCCATCAGTGCTGCCTATCAATGCAGTCTCATCAATGCACATCAGTGAAAGAGAAAAATTACCTGTTTGCAAAATTTTATAAGAAACAAAGAAACTTTTTTTTCAAATTTTTTGCTATTTTTTTCTTTATAGCGCAAAAAATAAAACACCCAGCTGCAAGTAAATACCACCAAAAGAAAGCTCTATTTGTGAGAAAAAAAATGACACAAATGTTATATGGGTACAGTGTTGCATGACCGCGCAATTGTCATTCAAAGTGCAACAGCGCTGAAAGCTGAAAATTGGCCATGTAAGGAAAGGGGTATAAGTGCCCTGTAGGCAAGGGGTTAATATCCGTTCATATAAATAAATGGGCATCAGATGAAGAAGGTTACACTGTTGCTAAATATGATTAAATGGCCATATTTGGACAATGATGTCCCCCCTATCCTGGCTCTGTCCTATCAAAGGTTGCTAAGGAAGTAGAGGCTGCTTACAACCACCATGTTCTTACCAACCTCTGATGTCAGTCAACCCATTCAATTACATGGCCGGGAATGGAGAATGGAGCATTACAGCATTGCCTAAATATAACCATGGCCATATTGTGGCACTGATGTCATCACTTTCCCAGCCTCTTCCTTTATATAGCTGTTGGCAGCTTTGGGAACTCGT